AGACGGATGGGCTAAACATATGCTCGGTGAGAGAGAATTTCACCACTCGTGTGCGTGTGTGTCTTATCCGTGTATCACGTAGGAGGGGCATGAGGGTTTTGTGTGCAATCGGTGCAAGGCGGGTTTCTCGCGCCAGACGCCCCAGCAGCCGTGCGTTCCTTGTGCCTCGCTGTGGCTGATTCTTCTTGTCAACGCGCTGCTCGTGGTCGCCACTCTGACGGCCATCTTTCTCCTCACCGCACTCGCGGAACGGTCAGCGCACACTCATGTGTCCATCACACGAGGACGCCAATCGGTCGAATTTGCGGCCTCTTGTATGTGTTCAGAGGGGCGTCATCTCTACGTGCTGAAGTGCCCTCGCAGCTGACCAAAATCGGCCTCTCACACATCACCGCTGTACGCACAGAAATATCCAGTCAGCTTCATAAAGCTCTCTTCTTCCTCTGAGTGCAGGTGTGTGGCTTGGCCTTTCTCGTGTTCGACGAGTCCCTCTGGGGCGACCAGATATCGTCACTGGTCGGTCCCTTCTTCGCCTGGGGTGGCGGCGTGCCGCAAAGCTATCAGGTGTTTGAGTGCCTGTTGAGGCCATATGTGGGCAACAAATGCGTGTTGTACCGGCACGCCATGTGGCTGGCGCTCCCACTTATTTGGCTTACGGCTGTTCCCCTCATTGGTAAGCATACACACACACATCCTAGAGGGCGATGTATTGTGTTCGTTTCTCGCTCGTGTCATGGCTGCAGCGAGCGGCTTTGACAAAGTGCGTAATGCATTCAAGTCGATGCGATGCAGTGACAGCGACCAATCGACCTCGTTGGCCACCGGCACCTACCTCCGAGCCCTCTCGGCACCGCCATCCGTAACCGATGGCAGAGCCGACGACGCCCCCGCACACGGCCCTCACCAGCGATCAGTCACGTTTCACGAGGAGTCCCGCCGAGAGCCAGTGACGCCGCCCTCTAGCCAGCCTTCGCTAGCGGAACCCCGCAAGAGCGGCCGATGGCGGCAGTGGCTCGACAACCGGGGGGCCATAGTTTTCGTCATTCTCACATTCATCCATCCCACGGTCACCAAAAGCATGCTGGCTCTCCTGCGGTGTCGATGGTATCCCTATGTGGACGATGCCATATCTATCGCGCCGGGCGAGAGTGTCAGCCTGCTGCCTATTGACCCGATGGATGACATGCGGCCTCGGATGGACCTCGACTCAGACGTCATCTGTCGGTCGGCCGAACACGCTCCATTCCTCTGGATTGCCGTGGCTGGCCTATTGCTGTGGACTTTCGCGCCAGTCGTGTGTGGCGTGGCGTTTCTGTGGCGGCACAGAGACGGCCTGCAGGACCACCGCACACGCAGAAGGGTGGGCTTTCTGTATGTGGGCTACCGAAAGAATCTCTACTATTGGGATGCCGTGCTTGCCATGAGGCGTGTGCTCGTGCTGTTAATCGCGCAACAAGCCACTGCACAGCCCCGCCAACAGCTGCTCGGCTGGATGGTCGTGGCCGCTGTGTGCGTGGTGCTGCAGCTCATCATGTGGCCGTTCGATCGTGGCAGCATGGACATTCTCAATCGGTCTGAGCTGCGTGGGCTGCTGGTCTGGCTGATGTCGCTGTTCGTCATGGACTGGGTGGTCGTGCTGCCCGAGGGGACCTCACTGGTGCTGACCGTCGGCCTTGTGTTGGTAGTCATTCTGGCCAATTTGGTGCACTACATCATGCTGGCCACGCAGATATGTCGGCATGGCCTGCTGCAACTAGGCTACACATACACGGCCCTCACCGATCGCAAAAAGGGATTCGGTGGGCAACGGACGAGCACAGAAACACCCCTCTTTTCCATCTGGCTGCGTGTGTCGTCTCATTTCAATCAGCCCGTGTTGTGTCTGGTTGTCTGACTGGCCCTCTTGTGTCGTGGCTCATCCACCGAGAGGAGGACAGACGGCGTGTCTCACCGAAGGTCTTCTATGACTGGTCCAGCGCCGCCCTCTCTGCCGACGGCCCCTCTGCTGCATCAGGGGTATGCCATCCGTCTGCCGGCCGGCCGGTGCCTCGTGTGGTGACGGCCATGCAGCTGACGTCAGCCGCCGTGCAGGACGCCATCGAGACACTCAAACTCACACACGTGCCCGGCGACTTGCAAGCACAGACACGCCCGCACCATCACCCCACCACGCACCGTCGTAGATGATCTGTCTGGTTATCTGTTGTTGGTTTGGTCAGCCATGAGTTTCTGTGGAGCCATGCCTTCCTGGTGCAGAGCCTGCGGCAGAGGCGAGTGGAGACGCGTAGCCGACGAGGAGGCCACGTGGTCGTCCACCTGCCCAAACCCGACGACAGCAGCGCCACCGTAAGCAAGACGACAAGGAGGGACCCTCTCGGGTCCGTGGCTGCATGCATGTCTGTCTGTCTGTCTGTTTGTTTGCTGGCAGAAATTGCGGGGCATCAGGACTACCGACCTCTCCAATATATTTCGCAACCAAGACTCTACTGAAGGTCGGTCTATTACGTCATCGCGATGTGTGCCATGCACACTCATGTGACGGTAATGTTCAGTGTCGACTCGACTGGAGGCCGGCAAGACGTCCGATGATATACCTCTTGATCAGTCGGAGGTCTCCCGCATCGAAGAACAGCCGACAGACAGGTCCGCACACACACATGAATGGCACCACTGCGACAGCTCTCTCATGTTCTGTCCTCTCCTCTGTGTTTCATGGCACGTCACAGTGACGTGTCTGCGGGCATCACGTGGCACGACCTGCAGGCCAACTTGTATTATGTGGTTGACGAGCTCGTCAGCAGGGAGCAGATGCATCAGGCGGCCCTGAAGCGGACGGCCGACGGCAGTGATCTGGAGAAGGCTGACAGCGAGGCATCGTCGGTGCACCAGCGGTACACTGGCGGCTGGCGGGGGGTTTATGAGGCCTTCCGCAAGGCCAAACGGACACTCATCGAGAAGGGCAGCCCACCGGTCAGTCAGACAGATGCTTAGTCCCTGTGTGTGTCTATAAGAATGCACATGCTCATCTGTGTTGTCCTGCCACTGCATGCAGGATGCAATCCCGGAGGTCCTCGCGAGCCTCGCGCCCACAGTAATGGAGACGCCATCTGGGGATGTGGCCGTGAGTGGCGTGTCGTGTTCCCTCTTCTCGACCCAATCGCGTCAGAGCGATGCCCACCCCCCCTGTCGTCACCTCATGCGCGTCGATTAGCATCGGCTCGGCACGGACCAGGAGAGGAAGGACAGCGTGGCCGCATCGATGTCGGCCGAGGCCGTCTATGATGCCGTAGCCGCCATGGCTGCCAACACAGATGAATAATGGTCCATCAGCAAGAAGCCTTGACATCGTCGACGTGCGTACCATTTTTGGAAGCCGAAGCTCTAGAGGGCCAGCTGGCTGTGAGCGGCTGATGGTGTGGCTTTTTGCACTGTTGTCTTTCGGCCTGTGAGTGAGGGATTCGGAGTGGGTGAGAGTGTGAGAGTGAGAGAGTAAGGGCATATTTGTTTCGTGTCAGTCGAGGGAAATATACTCGATATGCTATAGTGGCTGCGGTAAAACTATAGGACCTGGGGTCATTCACTCTTGTAGACTTCTCTGTTGACTACAGAGATGCTTAGGTCGACGTGACGCTTTTGGTAAGGTCGATGGGGCGAGATAAGGTGTAGGTGGCGTATGGCTTTCTGTGTGCGTGTGCGGTCACTTGGTACAAGCCCATGCATTGATTTTATACAAGAAGCGACTCTGTCGATTGCGGGTTTTTTCGCGGCACCAATTGGTGCACTCATTGATATGTTAAAGGGGTGCGAAGGGGACTCTCTCTTTCTCCCTGTGTGTCTGTTGGGAATGAGTAAGCCACTCATGCAAACAGACAGAGAGGGTGGTCCGTGTATGTGTCCATGTCTTGCGACGACGTGCGGTAGCGAGTGCACAATCGCGAGACCCTCATGCAATCAGTGAGCTGCAGTATCCTCGCAAATGAACAGGTGCTATCCAACATGTTTTTTCGCAGTGTAGGGTGTTTGTTTCGGCAGCTTTGTGGCATGCAATCACTGATGGGCGTGGCGTTCTTATGATCAGCGACAGCTACATAGACGCTTGATCGGGCTGTGGGTGGACACGGCGGCTTCCAGCGGGCTGAGTTTTGGGCTTGTCTGTGTGTCTGTGTGTGGGTCTGTGTGGAAGGGTTGAGTTGTATTGTGTGTTGCGCACCGACTGTGACCCGTTCAAATGCCCTCATGCAGTCTACTACCAGGGTGTGCTCACTGCATGTGTGAGCTGCCTGGAGTTTTGTCCTGTTGTGAGAGTGAATGTCGCTCTACACTGACTGAGAGGGAGAGAGGGGCGGGATGGGGGTGGGGAGGGTGTGTGGGGGCATTTCAAGGTGTGGGATGTTTCCATGTCCTGGGTGACACTGACACTTCTATGTATCTAAATCATTCATCCCATACGGTTGACGGATCCGATCAGATGCACAAAAAGACACACACGAATGAAGGCCATGGGTGGTTACTCCGGTGGTCTTGTAATGTCTGTCAGTCTGCCTGCCTGTAGCATGATACACAGAGTGCCATGCAGCACAGCTGCATGATCCTCCATGGGAACGATCAGGCTCTCTCTCGAGAGGCCTTCACGCCACGGGCGGCTCGCAACTTGCTCTCCTGAAAGCACGTAGGTGCCAACGCGTCAGCAGCCTCAAGGCGGCAGGAGGCGTACATGTGCGTTGTCGGTGAGTGCTTACGAGCATGCGAATGAGTCCATTGCTGTGGGTGTCCTTCCGTCTGAGTGCACGGTCGATGGCCGACGCAGCGATCCGCACCTGAGGCTGCAACCTGGGCTCGTCATCGGCACAGCAAAGGTCAAACGACACACCATCACCTACACACATACATACATCCATACGAGCAGGCGTGTCGCACTCTCTCTGTTCCTCCATTGTCTTACCGTCATTGCAAGCCGCTGCAGGTCTCGGTGCTGTGTTGTTGTCGATCTCTTGTTTTTTCTTGGCAGGTGGCTTGGCAGGCCCGCCACCCGGACACTTCACACCACCACCACCAGCAGCAGCCACCTGCACACAGACACGAAGAGAGGCGTCAGATGGAGGTTGTCGGCACTTCTATCTATCTCACCTTTGTCGGCTTGGCCTTCGTGCTGCTGACTGGCGGCCCGAGACTGACGCCTAGATCCTCCCAGTTAAGTGAAGGCGACTCGAGCCAGTCATGCAGGAGGTCGCCCTGGCCGCGCTTGTGCACCCGGGGGGAGGGTGGGAGGGGTGGGCGAGGCTGCTGGCGATGCACTGATAGATAGGACAGAAAGAACACAGAGACGATTGATGGTCACATCAGCGTGGATGGATGGATGTGTCGTGTCGTGTGTGTGGCGGCTGTCACCCCGATGGACACAGGGGCTCCAGGAAGCGCAAGCACGTTTGCATCCCGGCAGCTGCCTCGGATGCAGGCGGCCGCCCCTCATCGCCGAAGTCGACGCATGTGTCCTCGGGCTCACCATCAGCAGGGCTATTCAGGCGCCGCTTCTTTGCCATTGTCAGCTGCACACACAAGGCAAATCATTCTACTGTGAGCCAGCATAGCAGACAGAGATCTGCTTACACATTTCAACGCAGAAGATCTCGTCGGCTTCGAGAGCACTCACTCCTCCGATGCGCCCGGGACCGGGGTCATCCATGCCGCCTTCAAAAAGCCACAAACTGAGGAAGAAAGCTTCACAGCCTGCAAGCTAGAAATCCGCGATGTCGAGAATCTTCAATAACGCCCAACGGCCGGGCTGGCCAGAGGGGAAGCAGCAGCACCTCCCTAACTGCAGAAGCGAAGAAGGCGAGGGCCTTTCTGCTCTGCTCGAAGCGAGGCACATTTAGTGCACAGGTTGTGCTGCTTGGCTGACCGACGGGAGGAATGGCTGGCTTGAGGCTCGGCTCAATGTGAGCGCTGCGGGCCTCTATATACACATCTATACTCTCTCTACCTCTGCGCTGCGCCGCCGCCCTTGGGCTGCCTCCCTGCTCGTGGACATCTGCGGCTGGGACGAAGAACACCCGACCCACCCAAGTGTCCTCTCTCTCTCTCTCTCTCCGCGTACATACGCCCATTTGTGATGCCTCCGTATTGAGTGTAAGCGACCGCGGAGAGGATGGCGCAGAAGAAGGTGGTGCAGCAGGTGCCGCCCGGCTCCTGGCTGACGTGGCCCGAGAGCGAGACGACCAAGCGCAACGTCATCGACCTCTTCGACGGCCATCTGCTGAGCGAGGGCCTCCCATTGGTCCTCAAGAACGACCCCAAGGCCACACGGACGCAGCTCAACGAGTACGAGACAATCATACGCAACATCCTGCGGCTGTTCCGGACTGGCGGCCCAGGCAGTGACGGGCCCAGCCGTGGCACAGTGGGTGAGAAGGAGTGCGGCCCTGTGTCGTATGGCGGCCGTGTGGGGGGCTTCACGAGCGGCACGACGGTGTTTGACGAGATTGTGCACAAGTACCGGCTGCAGGAGGACAACTGTTTGAACCAGTACGAGGACATCGTCTACTCGCTCATGGCCATCGCACTCAGAGACTACCCCCCGACCAACGAGGTAGGTGGCTGTCAGCCATCCATCCACACACCAAACACACGGAGGGAGGATGGGTATGTGGTTGTTTGTGTGTGTTGGTTGGTTGTCAGACAACGCGTGCGATGAAGGAGCGAGGGTTCAGTCGGCTGGAGGAGTATGCGCTGTATCGATTCCACTGGAAGCTCTTCAAGAACTACCGCAGGTGGTGCCAGTACGTCGACGTCAGGCCCTTCCCCTGGGGCGAGAGCAAGGCCACCACTGCCAAGCCAGCCACCAAGGGCGCGGCCACCGGCACGCAGCAGGGTGCATCGGGAGGTGCATCGGGGTCCATGGCAGCATACCTGAAAGAGAAAGAGAAAATGAGGAAAAACCCAAAGACATCACTCAGTGAGTAGTGACACAGGACGCGCATCGAATGGATGGCGGCAGCACAGTGTGTGTGTGTGTGTGTGGTTGGGTGGATGTCTGCAGTGTTGATGGCGCGTGAGGTGGCGTTGTGGAAGTTGATGTGGGGCGAGTCAGCGAACCTGCGTCACTGCCCGGAGCTGCTGCTGTTTGTGTTCCACTGGATGATGAAGAGCTGGGACGACGTCGACCCCACCAAGATGCCCACATACGTCGAGACCATCACACCGGTCATCAACGAGTTCTGGGAAGAAATGCGGTGAGTGCGTGTGCCGCAGTGACCACACAGACAGACAGACAGACAGACACCCGCCCATTTGTGCGTGTTGTTCCATCCATCCATCGATCAGTCGTGCCTCTGGTGACCATCCCGTCAAGATGAACTACGAGGACTTCAACGAAATATTTCACAAGGCCCCGGTGGTGCACAGGTGGCTGGGCGGTGTGGGCGAGAGGGGCCGCGGCGGCACCTGGAGGGGCAACTTCATGGAGATGATCAAGGCAGAGACCACCTCACACCAGTTCCTCAGCCTGCAGCCGCCTAAGGGACGGAAGAAGACCTACATCGAGCAGAGGAGCTACCTGCACGTACGCACCGTAGCCAGCGAGACAGACAGACAGACAGAGAGACCTCGAGGCACCCAGACACATGAGGGACGGACTGTTTGTGTTGTCCGGTCAGTTCTTCCGCACTTGGTGGCGGTACTATCAGTTCAACCTGGTCACCCTGTTCATCAGCCTGGCATACGGAGCGCAGAACAGAGGTGTGTGCGTGCGTACGTGAGTTGGTTGGTGATCCGTTCATCGATTCACACGCACACACACACTCGGTGTGCCTCCCTCCCTCGAACGATCAGGATGGGACGCGACAGGATGGTGGGGCATGGTCACCGTTTGCGCAGCCACAGGCAGTGCCGTGCGGGAGATGTTTGACCTCTTCTTCTACTGGCTGGCGCCCATACCCCTTCTCCAGCGGTGCTACGACGCCATGGAAGGCATGAAACGACTCAACTGGTGAGAAGAAACAAACAGAGACATCGTGCCCACTACACCCATCTCCCTCTCTCCCTCTGTGTGTGTGTATGTGTAGGTGGGCGCGTCAGATCATGGCTGGCATTCGGTGGGCGTTGTTCCTGGCGGCCGTGTACGTGAGCCGCAGCAGCCCTCTGGGGTGCAGCGACCCCGCCCTGCAGCCGTCGGGCTACGTCGGCGGGGCCTGCTTCATGTTCTACGTCCTACACGGCCTCTCCTACTTCCTCATACGCGTGCGCAAGACCCTGCCGTGCTGGCAGAACGGGCCGCCCACGTGGAACACACACGCGACTTTCCAGGGCAACGCTACCATGCTCAGCGACGAATACAAACACATGGTGAGGGAGGGAGGGAGAGGGGGGAGGGGGGAGAAGGGATGGATGGATGTGTGTGTGTGTGTGCGTGTGTGTGTGGCGCAGTTTGGGTATGCCTTGTTCTGGATGCCGGTGTTGTGTTTCAAATGGTGGATTGGCTACCACGTCTTCGTGCGGGCCTTCCTGGACCTCCTCTTGCCCATGAACCAAAGTGGCAGCGACCCCATCCGGTAGGCAAGCTGGCGGGCCGTGTGGCGCGTACCATGTCATGGAATGTGTGTGTGCGTGTGTGTAGGTATGACTTCCTGGGATATGAGATCAACGACAGGGTGAAGGTGACTCTATACGTCTTCTGGATCTCGCCGTGCATGGTGCTATACTTCTACGACATCATGGTCAGCCCGGTCGTGGATAGACAGACACTGGGAGGAGCCTCGCCACGTGCGTGTCTTCATGTTGTGTGTGCATTGGTCAGTTTTACTTCTCGGTGTTCCAATCCTTCGTCAGCTGGTGCATCGGGTGGTTCAGAGGGGTAGGTCGGTCGGCCAGGCCATCAATGCGCCCACGTGCCATGTGTGTCCGTCGTGTGTCAGATCGGCTTCATCACCGACCTCTCGGTCATCCAGAAGGTCTTCCCTCTACTGCCTTTGCAGGTACGTGTGTGCGACGACTGAATGGCCGCACCAGCCCACACTCTCTGTTTGCTCTCAGTATGACCGTGTGTTGTCTACTGATGCGGGCGGGACCGTCCGCAAGCTCAAGCTGGCCACCACCTCCTCCCCCAAGACGCTCGGCTGGGACTGGCTCGTCAGCGTCATCACCTGCAACATGTGCTGCGGCGTGTTCCAGCGGAAAATCCGGCGAAAGGTCAAACCCACATCATACTACATGTGGGTGCGAATGAGATCTGTCCATTCACATGGATGCGCACGGGAGCCGATCGCCTGTCTGTCTGCCTGTGCCTTCTCTCTCTGTGTGTGTGGGGAAATGAGCAGGTCTCACTCGCGCCCCCACTATGCGCTTCCGCTGCGGGCCCCCTCCCGCACCTGCAGCCGTCAGTCGAAGGCTTCATGCACCTCCAAGAAACGGGGCCCCCTCACCAAGAAGGCCACCTACTCGTCCCTGGCCTCTGACGGCACCGACAGCCTCACGACAGTCCTCCTGCGTCACGTCCCCGTCTCGCCACGCGCATCGCACCTCATGCGGACCACCGCCAACGGCAGCTCCACGGCACCGCGGCGAGGCCTGTCCTTGCTGCACGGACAGGCCTCCAATGAGGGCGACAGCTCAGTGTCCCCCAAGGCATCGACGGCCGACAAGACGCCGCCCAGTGATGCTGGAGGTGGTGATGGCACGGTCCCCCTTCTGCAGAAGAGCAGCACCTCATCCAAGAGCCCGGGGGCTGTGGAGCAAGGTCAAGGGTCCGGGGTGTTCTCACCGGGTGGCGCGAGGCTGTCGAAGGGGGGCGGGTCGTCGGGCAGCGACAAGGGCAAGGGCAAGAGGGGCTTCTTTCTCATGGACGGCAGTGGCAGCGGCTGGGTGTCCTGGTGGATCCGGGAGATATCTGCCGTCTACGACCACGTCATCCCCCCAGCCACGGTGGAGAACCAGATAAGGAGGTTCGGCTTTCTGTGGAATGAGGTGCTGGAGTCGTGGCGCGAGGAGGACCTCATCGACAACACAGAGAGGTGCAAGCTGCAGTTCAACGAGCTGCCGGCCATCCACTTCAAAGACCTCAGCGTATGGACAGTGAACTGGTGGACGGCAGGTGGGCCATGTCTCTCTCTCTCCTCTGTGTGTGTGTGGTTGTCAGGATTTGAACATGGCCTTCTCTGACTGTGAGGGTTCCAGCCTGCGTGTGTCGTGGGATGCTTCCGACATCCGCCACCCCGTGTGGGTCTACTGCGACGTCCTCAAGAGCTTCACCAGAGAATGCGAGGCACATCAGACACGCGTCAACGAGATATGGGAGAACCTCAGGGTGAGCGACCCACCCAGCACGACACACACCACCAACACACAGACCAGCACATCATGTGGTCTGGTATGTCTGTCTCTCCCCCTCTCTCCGTTCCCAGGACCACCATCGGTTCAGCAAGGAGTCCCACCACTATCTCCACGAAGTTCTGAAGCTGCCCCCGCCCACTTCCACCCCATCCCGCCTTCGTTGGCCAGGCCCCACGGTCAACCACAAGGCCAAGGCATCGCTGCACCAGGTCGGGCACGACTTCGTCAAGAAGCTGTTCGGCAACACCAGGGCCGCCGTGGGTGACCCCCGGTCGGACAGCCACCAGTTGCTGCTGCGGATGGCGCTTCTCGAGATCTACGAGGCGCTGTGCCTGTACCTGACGCGATTCTTCCCGGACGGACACACTCTTACCTTGCGGCTCAGCGCCGTCATGCAACGGGTGAGTGGGCGCACCATACACGGTGATCTCCGCTGTCTCCATACCTTCGTGTCAACTTTTCAGGTTGCGAGTCATCCGTTCTGTCTGTGTCTGCTGAACCTGGCTGCCGTGAAAGACCTCCAGGCCACCCTGGCCACCACTTTCGCAGCGGCGCAGGGCGACAACGCGGCTGCGATAGAGGAGAATGGCGTCAGACTGCTCAAGGCGCTTCAGAAGATGGCCCTGCCGGCGCTGTTCCACACGCCCGGTTCGTCCGTGCTGGCCTCCAAGGGCATGAAGCAGCACTTCCCCGAGCTGGTGGACTTCCTAGAGGCCCTCAGCGAGACCACCGCCGCGCGACAGTCCCTCAAGTCGATGGTGGCGAGCCCCCTCCTCTCCTCTCGTCCCCCCGATCGCGACAACTCGTCCAAGGCCGACACGCCGGCGGTGTCGTCCACCCACCCCCACAGCGACCCCGCCTCGCCCCCATGCTTCACCACCCCACACGGGACGCCCAGCTTCGGCAGCTCGAGACACACCACCATGTGTGAGGACGACACACCGGCCTCCAGCATACAGTCCATCCGCGACCCCAGGGTGTCCGGCCCGTCTGCCGCCGCACACAGGAGGCAGAGGCCGCCACTGCCGCCTGGGGGTGTGGGTGGGGGGCCGGGGACCATGTGGATGAGGATGGACTTGGCTGCTGAGGTGGCCTACTGCGACAAACTATGGCGGCTGGAGGAGCTGCAGGAGGGCGTGTGCTCCAACGATCAGCTGACGGTGTCGGAGGCGCTGAAGCCCTTCTTTCGACGCTCCAACCGGATCCTCACAGCCAAGGGACACGTTCTTAAGACCGCACTCGCGCAGGCCAGGTACTTCCGATTCATGACACACACGCGGAGAAAGTTCTAGGCTGAAGTGAGAGTGTGTGTGCGTGTGTGTTGTATGTGCAGGTTGAAGTATTTCTCGAGCTCGCTGTTCATGGAGATGCCCGAGGCGCCCAGCGTGCAGCGGATGGTGTCCATGTGCACCTTCACACCCACATACACGGAAGACGCCATGCTCGACGCCAGCGTAACCACCACCCGACACACATCCATCCATCCATATGTCTCTCTCTCTCTCTGTGTCCATGTGTGTGTGGGTGTTGGGATTCAGATGTTGAACGAGAAGACCATGGAGGGTGTGCGTCAGTTCGATTTCCTCCGCACCATGTACTGCCAGGAGTGGGCCAACTTCCTCGAGAGAATGGACCCACAGGGGGTGCGCTACGACTGGTACCAACACAGCCTCGCACACAAGAACGTCCTCAGCAAGAGCACCAACATCATGGCCGCCAAGTCAGCAGCAACCAGAGCAGACAACTGACTAAGTGGCTGATGCACATGGGTGTCTGTCTGTCTGGTGTGCACACACAGGTTCGAGAAGGACATAGAGGAGTGGGCATCTGAACGCACACAGACCCTCTGGCGCACACTCAAGTCCGTCATGTACTACGAACAGGCCTGCAGAATGCTGGTCAGCACAGCACAGCACAGCACACACACCCTCTCCCCCCTGTGTTGTGTGTGTCACGTCACTGCATTCTCTCTCCCCTCTGTGTCTTCTGTCTGTAGGCGTGGATGGAGTTGCAGGAGCAGCGGGGCGAGACGGCCCACCTGTGCCACGACCGCAACATGCTCTCCTTCGAGCAGAACGACCGGCTCAACTGGACGCTCGTGCCAGTGCAGCCGGACAGCCCCAAGAAGCTGCAGGTCTTCCTGCGGTACTGGGAACGGTGCCGCGAGCGCAGGAAGGTCCTCGACAACAGGCCCTACGACAACGACCCTGTTGCCAAGGTAAGACGACAGACAGACAGACAATCCTTCTCTCTCTCTGTTGGTGATGGATCCGATCCCTTCATCTCAGGCCCTGGCCACTCTCCGTTTCCAGTACGTGTTGACGGCCCAGACGCTGGGCGACGACCTCAAGGCCCCTTCGTCCAACCGAGTGGCCACGCTGCGTGTGCGTTGCGTGACCGAGATGTGCAAGCGCTACCCCAGCATGCGTGTGGCGGCCATCGAGAGCTGCGACATCCGGCTACCCGGCTCCAACAAGCCCAAGAGCGTCAAGTGCTCGGTGCTCTACAAGTGGGACGTGGGGCAGCAGAAGCTCGTGAGGGTCTACAGGGTGGTCCTGGGGCTGCTCGAAGGCGCCTGTGGCGCCAGGTGAGTGTAGGATGACCATAACAGGACACACATGTGCCGCGTGTCTGTCTGGGTGGCTTGTGACAGGAATCCCATTGTCGGCGAGGGCAAGAGTGAGAACCAGAACCATGCGATCATCTTCACTCGCGGGGAGACCATCCAGGCCATCGACATGAACCAAGAGATGTACCTCGAGGAGGCCCTCAAGCTGCGGAACCTCCTGCAGGAATTCGCCAAGGACACCAAGATGGCCATTATGGGATTCCGCGAGCACGCCTTCCTCCCCGGCGCAGTCACCCCCTCGTACCTCTCCAACGTGCAGCAGACGTGCTTCACGGCCTTCGACGCGCGCGCCTTCCACATGCCGATGCGCATCCGGTTCCACTACGGCCACCCTGACGTGTTGGACCGCTACCTCGTCAAGACGATGGGCGGCATGAGCAGGGGCAGCGCCATCATCAATGTGACGGAGGACGTCTACTGCGGCATGAACTACGTGCAGAGGGGATACTCGTCCGCACAAGTCGACTACATCATGGTAAGGAAGGAGACACCCAACATCACAACACGACTACGGCCACTCACATGGATGGATGGATGCCCCCCATCTGTCGCTCTAATTTCGTGTGTGTGCAGTGTTCCAAGGGCTGGCCGAACGACCTCGATCAGGTGGTGGCGTTTATGCGGAAGATAGCCACAGGCAGCGCCGAGGCGCAGGCGGCCAGCCGGGACGCCTACAGGATGGCCTACGGGATGGACTTCTTCCGCCTCTTGTCGCTCTTCGTGGCCTTCCCGGGGTGGAACATCCTCAACCCGCTGGTCTTCCTGTCCATCTGGCTCTTTATGTATGGTCGCATAGTGCTCTCCGCCTTCTCATGTAAGCGACCGACCGAGCAACGACGAGAGAGACACATCGATGGGATGGGTATGTGTGTGGGTGTGTGTCCAGCTGCGATACCTGTGCTGCTGCAGCCCTTCCTGGTGTCGGAGGAGCTCAATGCCGTCACCATCATGGACCGCGTGTGGCTGCTCCTCTTCGCCATCTCGTACCTCAAGTACCCCACACACCAACACACACCACACACAACCACACGACGCCCAGGAATCTCATGGACGCGTGTGTGTGTGACCCCGTGCACCACATCAGGTTCGGCGCCATGGTAGCTCTAGAGGAGGGTCTTGCCGGCGGCATCAGACACATGTGGCACCACATACGGGCTCTGTCGCCTCTCCATTACACTTTCACAAGTGCGCCGCGCCCTCTGGCCGACCAGACGGACACAGAGAGACACACGAACGAACAGATGGACACCCCCCGACTGACTGACTCTCTGTTGGTGTGCAGTTGGCACGTGGCTGGGCAGCTTTGACGAGACAGTGCTGTTCGGCCGTGCGAAGTACCAGAGTGCCGGGCGAGGGTTCAACATCAACCACAAGACGTTCGTTCACCTGTGGAAGGCCTACTTCTACTCCCACTTCCAGCTGGCCATGGAGCTGCTCCTGCTGCTCTTCTACCTACGCGTACGAGTCGAGTGTGCATGCCATGCGTATCGTTTGTCGTCTGTCGAACAATGAATGCCATCCCGCTCCCTCTGTGCGTGTTTGTGTGTGGTTGCCGATTGATTGCAGTTTCTGCAGGACTTGCAGCCGATGGTGGCCATTCGGTGCTGGTGGTTCATCCTGGTGCCCGTGTCCTTCCTGTATGTGCCGCATCTCTACAACCCCATGGGCCTTGCTTGGAGCAGACTCACATCAGACTTCACCGGGTGGTCCAGATGGCTCAGATCGAACGTAATCAGTGCAGTGCCCCCATCCATCCATCCACCACACACAACGAATGTGTCTCATGTGTCTCGTGTGTGTGTGTGTGTGTGTGTGGTCAGAACAACCATGACGTCGAGGAGAGCTGGTACGCCTGGTGGAAGCAGCAGATGGAGTTCCGCAACGGCGCATCCCCGCTCAACAAGATCATCATCCTTACAAGAGAGCTGCGCTTCCTTCTGCTCGGGCTCTGCATTGCCAAAGCCGCCAACTGGTGAGCCAGCCGGGCACACGCACACGCACTCCTACACACCTACACACATGAGCCATGGGTGTGGATGCAGGCATTGGTACCACTTGGTGACCTCCCCTGGTGGCGCAGGATGGTCGTGGGCGTGGGAGAGCATCAGGGATCTCGTTGAGAGGAGCCCACTGCTGGCCCCTGCCGTGTTCACGGCGCTGGTGGTTTTGGTCATGGGCCTGTCCACACACAACCAGGACTACCACCCCTCCCTGCACACGCGCAGGGGGCAGATCGGGTTCATGTCGGGCCTGTCCAACGCAGGCAGCCGGTTCTTCACCCTGCTGACCAGGATCGGCGCCTTCGCCCTCATCGTCTTGTTCCTCTACAACCTGATCACCGACACGACTTACCGGTTGTCATTCGGCACTATCGTGGGCGGCATGGTCGCATGCTTGCTGGCCTTCCTCTCCATAACCACCGTCCTGGCCGAGTGTTTCGGCTTCGTCGAGTGGTCCCCCGTCGTCGAGACGCATCGGTACGCGAGCAGCAGACAGACGCTCATCAGAGCAGCGCAGTGGAGTAGATGTGTGTGTGTCTGCTGTGTGTTGGGCAGGCTGTGGCATTTCCTGCTGGGGGCGCTGCAGCTGGCCCCTCTGATCGCCCTGGCGGCCCTCAAGTACGTCTTCAACACCAGCGAGCTGCAGACCTACTACCTGCTCAACTCGTACGGCGTGGCCCGGAGCCAGCTGCACATGGGGCACGTCCGCAAGATGCTCCAGAAGATCCGCATGGAGCAGAAACACCACTCCAAGCCGCAGCAGCACCAGCAGCAGCAACCGGGAACACCAGTCAACAACGCCAGCAACAACAACAACACGCCGGTCCAGACCCCCAAGAGCGACGCCGGGCGGGAGATGGCTATGGACGGCGTGTGCGACGACCAGCAGAGCGAGTCCCGGATGCAGACCCCCATTGCCATCCGCTACCAGTACTCATCATCATCTCCCGTGCCGACAGCGATCACCTGTGACTCTGAGGCCGTGCCAGACGTCCCCGATGACCCCCAGGTGCGCACGCCGCTGCCTGACACTGACACGCCGCAGAACAACGTCAGCGGCCAGGATGACACCCCCCAGACAGCTGCAGGAGAGCCACAGCTAGCCCCAGACGAGCCGGAGACATACGTCGACCAGCCACAGCCGCGGAGCCCCGAAGCAGCTGTGGACGCACCTGTTGACGCACCTCCTGAGGCAGATCCTGATGTCGAGACCCAGGCAGCACCAGCACCACCAGCAGAGGGTGGTGGGATGGTGGTCGAGGACATGTCATTGGTGATCGCAGACCGCGGCGAGGCCGATGGCGCGTGTGTTGACGACCACGACTTGGACCGCCACTCGGTAGCTAGCAGCATCACCAGTGACGGCGATCTGATGTCCTCAAAGCAGTCCGACATGTTCGGCGATTTGTTTGAGGAGGAGGATGAAGATGAAGATGAGGAGACCCTCCACGACCCCGCTGTGCCACCGAACGACGGCCTTGCGCGTGAGAGCCCCGAGGCGTTGGTGGCGGGCATGATTGGTCGCGAGAGGGAGCGGCGTGCTGCGGAGCGCGCGAGGCAGGAGGAGGCCATCGAGAGGGTCATGCGGGAGGCCCGGGAGCGGCGGGAGAGGGAGGGGCCCGAGTCGGATGAAGAGAGACACTGGTTCACATGATGACATGACATGAGATGGGGCGGGCGGTGGGTGCTGACTGGGCGGTGAGTGACCTGGGCCTCCTTCATACACACGTGTGGGTGGTGGGTCGCATGCCCTGCGTACTCGGTTACCTGGGTTTTGCCTGCGAGCACTGACTGCATGCCGTGTTATGCTGCCGTGGCGTTCGTTCGGCCGTCCGTTGTTTTTGCTCCTCTCTTCGCTGTTGTAATGCTCGGCCGGCCGGAGTCGGCTCGGCCGCTTTATTTCATTGTGGTATCGTAACGTAGCCTAGCCTCCATCCATCCAGCCATCCATCCACCCACCTACCATTCCAACCACCCTTCCATCAGTCGCCGTGTTGTAAGATTTAGAAGGCCATGGGATTTTCTTACTGATCGAAGTTTGCGCTGCTGCTAAGTCGGTTCATGCGTTGCCTTCATGTGTTCATGTGTTCATGTGTTGTGCTGCGCTGCGGACAAGGTCGCCGGTCCTGCGCCAGCCACCCGGCCTCGCTCATTTGGGTGCTGTGCTTTTCTTACTAAGACACAGACAGAAAACTGGGCTCATGGTGCATGTCGTCATTACTACTGCGTGTGTGTGTGTTGGGTGGGTGTAATTGCATGTGTGTGTGTGTGTGTGTCTGTGCGTGTCTGTGTGTGTGTGAAGCCCGTAGCTATGCTAGAGCTGTATCGGCCACCATTAACCAAGCAAGCAACCAAACAAGTGTATGCGTGTTATAATGCTCCTCCCACGTTCGTTGTGTGTGTGCGTGTCATGTCTGTCTGTGTTGTGGTGTCTGTCCTGGGTGTGCTGACTTGAGGTGTGCCCGCCTCAGGCGAACTTTTTGCATATCACCTACCTGCATCCATCCATACGTACGTATTTCTGCATACATACAAAAGAGAAAAGGGCGCTGTCACGGCACGGGCTGACAGACACTGACCGATTGAAACAAGTGAATTGCACACAGTCGCATGCATGTTTCCATGTCCTTCTCTCTCTATGTCTGGGTCTCGGTGTCTCTCTCTGTGTGTCTGCGTATTTTCCTGACTGCTTGTATGATGGGGCCCACATGAGTTGCATGCCTGCCTGTGTGTGCTGTGTGTGGTGTGAACCGACCGACCCCTTTCGTACACCGCCCGTTTTTTGTAAGGCGTAGGCCTCTCGGCCGATCGACGATTTGATGATGCAGCTCCCTCCCTGTCTGTGTGCCTGTGTGTGCGCATGTGCATGTGTGGGTGTGTGTTGATTTTGTTCCGTTTCACTTTTTGCGAGCGAGCAGAGCATGCAAGCGGCGCAGCGCAGCGAAAGCCGGCAGGCCAGGCAGCCAAGCCATTTTGTTAGTCTTATCGTACGGTGTATGTGTGTGTGTGT